CCAAACCCCATCTCACCTGGAACAGCAGCACTGAGTCAATGGAAGCAAAGTGCCCATCAGCCAAGCAGAAGTACTCAGCCCAGCGCCCATCCTCCGCCCAGTGTGACAGGTGCTGCTCCAGCTCAATACAGGCTGCCGGCCAGTTAAAGTCCTCCTCTATGGGGTACACATGCAAGGTCTTTGGTGGGCAGGAACACTGCTACCCACACCAGCTATCCAAGTCCACCCCTGGCTCCCAGGGAGCCCAACCAGCACCAGACTTGGAGAACCACCGCCTGCGCCCCCAATCTGGATCCCTCACCCATCTAGGCTCTAGCTTTGGGACTACTGCCCCACCTACTTTCAAAGCAGGTCTAGGACTACTCCTCACCTCAGTTTCCAGAAACTGGGGAAGTAGAACCTCAAGATCACCCTTCCCAGGCCTCATCCCAACCCAAGTCTGGGAGTTAGCAGCCTTAGGACATTAAGATCCTTCCTCACCCCCTGACTGAAGTCTGACCTCAATCCCTCAGATTGGGCACAGGAGCTAGGACTTTCTGCCTCAGCCATCTGAACCAGACCCAGGAGAGTTTTTCTTCCCAAACTAGTATCTATAAACCTGTCAAGATGCAGAACCCAAGCCCTAGGTGTAGACATTCAGTGGTATGGATGGAGCCCAGGCCAAGATATTCAGGAGAGTTCCATCACTTGAAGGTCACCAAGCTGTCTTATCCCCCAAGGACCAACGACTTCAAGGGCAGAGGGAATGACCACCAGCCCCTGCCTAAGATCCCAGGCTAGACCCTGAGCTTGAGGATCTGATTGCTGACATCAGGGATCCAACCTCCAAACCCTACACTGGGCTCAAGAGTTGCAGGCTCCATGCCATGGCGGTTTGGCTCAGTGGTTAGAGTGTCAGCTTGCGGACCAATGAGTCTCAGGTTCAATTCCAGTCAAGGGCACATACCTCGGTTGCAGTTCAGCTCCAGCCCTGGTCGAGGTTGTGCAGAAGGCAACCAGTCGATGTGGCTCTGTCACATCGATGTTTTTCTCTCTCTTTCCTTCCCTCCTACTCTATCTAATGATACAGAAAAATATCCTCGGGTGAGGAATAAAATTTTTAAAAAAGAGTTGCAGGCCTGGACCTGAGTCCTTCCCTGCCTCACTCCTACCTAGGTCAGGAATCTAGGGGTGAGGCGCTTTGGCATCACCAGTTGCTGCCTCAGCATCCTAATCCAGAACCTGAGGATTCTTGGGTATACCCTGAACCCCAAGCAAATTATGACAGTCTGAGACTTTAAAGTCGCTGTGTCAATCCTCAGCCAGGGGTCAGGCCCTTTGTACCACCACCAGAACCCAAGCCTGAGGATCACTGGATCATTAGTTCATGGGACCCCAGACAGATTTCTACAGCTTCACGACCCCGAGTGTCTGCCTCATGGTCCACTCAGAGTTCAGGGACTTTGGGCACCACCAATAACTACCTCAGCCTCCACCGGAGCTAGGACTGCCAGGAAATCTGCTCTAGGGGCTGTGCTCACAGCATCCCAGGTAGCCCCTCTCCGGCCCTAAGTCTGCCCTGGGCGGGCGACCCTGGTCCCCAGCGTGCGCACCTTCTACCACTGGATAGGGTGCGCGTACACGGCGCTGCGCGCGTAGCCTCCAGGTGACATGGTCACGCACAAGGTCGCGCAGCGCGTGGCACACGCGCGGCAAGACGTGGAGCACGAGGCGCGCGTCCAGGTAGGCGCAAATCTCGAGCAGCAGCTCCGGAGGAAGGCTCAGCAGGCCTGGGACGCCCATGGCCGAGCCCTTTGACGAGGCCCTCAGCTCCAGGGCGCCAGGGGACGTGGCGGGCGCGGGCAGCGGCGGGGCGCGCAAGGGCGCCAGCTCGAGTTTCGGCGGACTGAGCACGCGGGCCACATAAGCCTCAGCCTGCGCGTCTGGGTCAGGCTCCGGCTCCGGGTCCGAGTCATCGTCCCAGGAGTTGGAATCGTCGCGCTGCCCTGGGAGCAGCTCCATGGCGACCGAGTGGGCGCGTCTGGCCGTGCCCTGTCAGGGCAGACCCCGCGTCCTGTCTCCTAGGCAGCGCAGGCACTTTCGTCTCTGCCTGATGACGTTACGGCGCCCGCCGGAAGTGAGAGGCTGGCGTGGCTCCCGGCTGGATACGGTCAGCCGACTGGCTCCAAGGGTCTCATTCTGGGGTTTATCAGGCCTAGGGCCGGGGAATGCAGATTTCTGGTTCCTGAGGGGTTTGTTTTGTTTTTGTAATATTTTTAGTGATTTTCAGAGAGCAAGGAAGGGAGAGGAAGAATAATCGGTGTGAGAGGAAAACATGAATTGGCTGCCTCCTGCACGCCTCCCACGCCTCCTACTGGGGATTCACCGGCAACCCGAGCATGTTCCCTGATCAGAAATCGAACCTGCAACCTCTCAGTGCATGAGACAATACTCAACCACTGAGTCACACCAGCTGCTCCTGCGGGGTGTTTTGTTTTTTTGGTACGTGCCCCTAGCGGGAACCGAGTCCGGGACTCTCTGGTCCGCAGGCCGACGTTCCAACCCCTGAGCCAAATCGGCCTGGGCTGCTCCTGCGTTTTTTAAACAAGCATCTCCGGTGGTGTGGATGCAGGCTAACGGACTCTGGTTTGAAAAACGCAGCCCTCTGGAAGGCACCTTTCACAGGTGACCCTGAGATTAGAAATGCAAAAACCCCTTTTCTGGGTTGTCTGGGGCACACCAGTGATTAGTACTGTCTCTCCTTCTGTAGGCAGAAACATTCACTGTTACCGTGCAGAGGCCTCAGTGGAACCGTACTCTGAATCATACTGGTAAAAATAGCATCTCTTACTGAGTCTGTTGAGCCAGGCAGTGTTAACACAAAACACTTGAAATCTCCACCTACTCCTATAGGGACAAGGCTCTTTGCTCAAACATCAGCTTCCCAGACTACCTACTGTAAGATTGCGACCATCCCCCCACCCCTTTCCTCCCAGCTGTATTTTTCTCTGTGGGATATGTCTATTTCCTGGTTTATATTCTATTTTCTCTCACTAAAATGCATACATTTGAATGAATGTTGGATGTGTCAGCATTTTGCCCAGGTGATGAAGGTGATCTTTGGGCCAAATGAGGTTGCCACATTTTGTTCTAAGGCTTGTGCATCCCAAAGCTAAGCAATTTCTCATTTGCCTCAATAATTGACACTGATATTTTACATATCTCCCACAGGCCTGGTGCTGGGCTAAGCTTTCTACAAAAATGTAGAACATAAGCCCCTTCCCATTTTCCAACTCTCCCTCCCACCCTGTGGGAAATATAGTGAAGGCCATCTGTAAGCAGACTGTAAGACCTTGGGAACCTGGCCAGCAACTCTAAGGCCAAAGAGAAACTGCTTCTAGAAGTGAGCCTGGGCTGTAAACAGCTACAGTGATACCTCGGTTCTCGAACGCCTCGGATTTCGACCAAATCGGTATTCGACCAGGCGATTCGAGAAACTTTTGTCTTGGAATCCGAACAAACATTTGGAACTCGAACTTCCGAGATGAGCCGAGTTGAGCCGAGTTGAGCCGAATGGCGTTCATTCGGCCCAGCGCGCCTTGCTTGCGTCATCAGTGTGAGTGGAGAGAGTCACGCTTTACACTGAATTTAACCCTTAGACATACTGTACACTTTTATTTCTTGTTGAGACTTATGTTTTTCTACATATTATATACAAATTAGGCCAGTAAATAGGCATTTTCTGGGGCTTGGAACGAATTAATCCAGTTTCCATTATTTCCTATTGGTTTCATTGCTTCGGTTCTCGAACAATTTGGTTCTCGACTGTCCTCCTGGAACGAATTATGTTCGAGAACCAAGGTATCACTGTATTTTTGTTTGTTTGTTTTTTATCCTCACCGGAGGGAGAAACATCGATGTGAGAGAGACACATCGACTAGTTGCCACCCATATGACCCCAACCAGGACTGGGGACAAACCGCAATAGAGGTACATGCCCTTAGCGGGAACCGAACCCAGGTCTCTCTGGACCGCGGGCCAATGCTCTAACCGCTGAGCCAAACCGGCCAGGGCTAAACAGCTAGTGTTTTGATCTCACAGGCACATCCCTCTCCCCCTGCATGTCCTGTTTTTCTGTACTGCATAAAACCTTGTGCTGGGAAAGTCTGAGTGGCAGCAAAATAGCACCGGCCAGCCAATACTGGTGTGGCCAGTCCACAGGCCACAGAGACTTAGCAGTTCAACTTCACTGGTGGCAGCTGGTACAACAGTAAATTTCACTGGTAGGCCACCACTGGCGTGTATGTAGTCCTAATAAAACCATGTCTTTCACAGCCAGTCCTCAGGGTTATTTCTTTGGAATCCATGAACAATATACTGAAGTTTTCTGGGACCTCAGCACTTTGCATAACATGCCCAGCGACCCAGTTATGGAAGTCAGCAAGATTAGAGTGCTACAAGGCTTTGCCCCTTGTCACTCAGTTTAGTTGAAGGCAGGTGGGGATCTTGAATCTAACCTATAACACTAGTGGTTCCCCTTCAGTGAGCTCAGGACATTTACTGAGGTGTAATTATGGCCTAGAGAATGAACTCCATGTATATGTTTTCACATTTAATCTTCACCTTTCAGATTCACTTTAACCATTCTATGGGAAAAAAAACTGAGGCGTGGGGCCCCAAGAAATGTGCCTGGTATTGTTTATTTTCTTCCCCACTCCCCCAATTATTTCCTGAGTCCTAAAAATGTTTTTCCTTTGATTTTTAGAACACGAGGAAGGGAAATGGAGAGATAGAAACATCGATGAAAGAGAACATCGATTGGCCCCCTTCTGCATGCCCCTCACTGGGGATCGGGCCCACAACCTGGGCATGTGCCCTGACCAGGAATCAAAACAGTGACCTCTTGGTGCATGGGTTGATGCTCCACCACTGAGCCACACCAGCCAGGCTGCACCCCCACTTTTAAAGCTCCCCTCAACATCTCTACTGCCAAAAACAAGGACACAGGAGGCCAGCTGGAGACCAAGAGTTTCACAAGAAACTGATCTTTACTCAACAAAGTTCTACACAAGTGGAATCTCACACCACCTCGGTGCCAATCCCCAGCACAGCACGGTAACAAATGGACAGACCCTGGAGCCCGCAGGAGGAAGAGGGTGAAGGGGAAGGAGGGATATGGGAACAAGTGGGACTGCGGATCGAGGCCAGTCAGGGTCCACAGCCCTGGGCAGGGGAAAAAGTTGAGAAGCTACAACTTCGTTGTGCAAAAACCAACCGAAAATAAATTAAAAATTAAATAGTTTTCTTAAAAAAATAATAAGACAATGAACCAGGCTCCCACTTCCCTGAAGGTACTTGGAGATCCCCATTCTGGGTGGAGGAGTTTCCAAACCCATCAGACAGCCAATCCAATCTACACACCCCAAGACCCAACAGAGGATGCTTCAAAGAACTGTAATTACCAGAAAATTAAATGGTATTTAAAAATTTTTTTTTCTTTTTTCTTTTTTACAAATGGCTTCCAGAGACCTGCTGGAGTTTCAAGGGGTTGAGGGGAAACCAGCTGAGTTTATGGAATGTGCACCAAGTGCCCCTTGGAATAGAGGCAAGGCCTGACCCTGTCTGAGAAGACACAGGATTATGATGGGGGTGGGGTCCAAGAACCTCGTGGGATGGATGGAGCAGGCTCCAGAAAGCAGGAATCCAGTCAACCCCCCCCCCTCAAGAAAACCCAAAAGGGGACCCCAAACAAGTAAAAAGCAGTGGAGAAGAAAAAAGAAAACATTAAGGGAGCTGCAAGGCCTAGCTTCATTTCTAGGCCAACTCAGAACCACATTCCTAGTTCTAGAGGAGCCTCTCCCACTGACCATATCCCTGACCAATCCCAGAAGAAGCCCTAGAATCACTGCCCCAATCTGGTGGAGTCTTGGGGCCAATGAAAGCAGTGATGAACAGCAAGCCTCAGGGCCTCAAAGTGTGGGCAGAGGTGGGAGGGCATCATCCCTCCTCCAAGCCCCTGCTTTCCTTCTTGCTGGCAAGCCATAAGCCTTCCTTCCATCAAAATCAATTAAGTGCCCCTGCCCCTGAGTTTTAAAAACTCGGGCCTGGAACGTAAGGAGGACTGTCAGAAGCACAGAGAAACAGATTGCCCTTGAAATGGACGTGCTTATGGAGAGGCATGGGGTAAGTGTAGGCAGCTCTGGTTACCCACAGCTCTCTTCCAGAAAAAGGCCCCAGCCCAATGTCTTCAAAATCACTGGAGCACAAGGGAAGGAGTAAGGGAGACCTCTGGTCAGCCCCAGCAACTCGTGACGCCCACGCTTCTGGCTGGGATAGGACAAGAAAGGGGACATGGTGGCTGAGGCTGCCATAGAGCTGGCAGGAAGTGTGCTGAGCAGGTCCAAAGCGTGTGTGCTGACGGGGCAGCCCCAAGGTGGCCACCCTCTTACCCTGCCCTGGGCTCCGGGCAAGGACCCCAACCCACCCAGCCCTCCCCAATCATCATCAATTCTGGTAAAATGACAGAAGCCTCTTAAACTCTAGATGCAGGTTACACGGAAGGCCTTGTGGGTTAACTTAGGGGTTCACTAATTCTACTGTCTCCATGCAGTCAGGGAAATGGTGGGGCCGCTGGCCCAGCCTAGCTGGCTGCAGCGCCCACATGCGTGTGGCCACGTGTGTCATGTGAATGTACGCATCTCTATAGGGACACCCCTTCCCGCCTACTTTCCCCCTGCCTCATTCTAAGCTGGATTCAATCGGCCTTGTTGACTCTTTCCTCCCACATGGCTGGCCCAAATGGGCTGCCTGAGATGACCTCACTTAGAGAAAGAGGCCCTTGCTGCCAAGAAGTCCCACCCCCCTCCCGTTTGTAGGATGAGTGTGGAGGCCCCACCCACCTGCCCACCTATGGCCAGCCACATGGACCAGGCATGGCAGGTAGATGGGCAGGGAAGGCATCTGGATTTGGGTCCCACTCACTCCTCCCTAACCCCCCTTGACCAGGACACGGCGACTTCTGGACGCAGAGTGCTTCCCAGCCACCCTTCCGATGATGACACAGACAGAAACCTGCAGGGAAAGGAAAGGTCAAGGCCAGTGCCCCTTCAGCCTGATGACAGCACCAGCCCCCTACATGCAGCCTTCTCACCTGGCAGTCTCAATGCTCCTCTAGACCCCGTAGAAGGCAGCCAACCTCTCCTTGAGCAGCGGTGGGAACTGCTCTGAGAACTGCTGCCAGTTTTCCTCCCCAACTTGGTCTTTGAAACCATGGAGAATCTGGGGGGGTAGGGTGTCAGGGAGGAGTGCCCAGAACAGAACAAATGAACTCAGCCTCTCCCCCTAAAGTCTCCCCCGTGCTGCCTCCTGGAATTACATCAGGGCGAAGCGGAAGCCTCACCTTATAAAACATGTCCCGAAGGTCATCCTTCGGGCTCACCCAGGAGGCTACAGCATCGCAGAAGAAAATAAAGTCCTGAAATGTGACGGATCCTGTGTGAGGGGCTTACCAAGCCCAGCCCCAGTGCCTTCCCTCAGAGCCCAGCTGCCCCAACCTGCACAACGCCCCCGGGGTTGACGCCTATCATCATGCAGATGCCTCGGAAGGCTGAGTCCTTCTCCTCATTGTCCCTGATGTTCCTGAGGGACGTGCACCTGTGGGGAAGGTGAGCAGTAGGGAATCAGCCAGCAGGGCTGGGGCAGGAGGAGCATCCATAGGAGCAGTGGGTAGTGGGGCTGGGGTGGGCCATGTACCTATGGGGCATGGAGGAAGCAGGGGGGTCAGTGGGTGATAGAGCCGAGATGTGCATCTGAGGGTGGGCAAGGCTATGTGCACATAGGGAAGGGAATGAGTTGGTCCTGTCCCACCCACTCTGCCACCCGGCCCACCATACAGTAGGCCCCACACAGGTGAGCACACACCAAGGCCGGATGAACTGCTGCAGCATGGGTGCTACCTCCTGCGGGCACACGTAGCCCAGGCGGCCGATGGTGATGGCTGGAATGGCAGAGGGACTCGTCAGGCGACCTGCAACCCCGAGCGGCCCTGGGATGGTACGTGGCGGGGCCTCTGGCACCAGGCACCAGCCCTGCCCCATGGGCCCCAATGAAATATCTCCTGAAAGCCACCAGAGCCCTAAAGCTTGGCCCAACCTGGGTCTTCCCCCGAGGCCAGCATTATCTTTCTTGCCTCACCTCCCAGAACCCCTTTCTAGGTCCTTCCTGATACCTTCCCTGGTTCTTTCCCAAGGCCACTTAACTACACTCCCAGCCCACCTCCAAAAGATAAGCAGGGGGGCAGCAGCAGCCTAGATCTGGCACCCACCTGTATTTTCCAGCAGTGTCTTGGGTGTGTTGGGCCGGTTAATTATCTCCACCAAGTTGTTGAGGACCATCTGCACGTAGGGTTGCATCTCTGCCCCTGGGGGACCAGACAGTCAGAGCCACACACAGCCCATGCCACCCATGACAAACACCTCAGTTGCATCTAGATACTGGCTAACCACATCCAGTGAGGGAGCAAAACACCTTCAGCTGGTTCCCAGGCCAGGACCCATAGCCAACCAAGAGGCAGACCCACACCCTCCAAACACCAGAAACTTCCCTGGAGTCACCGCTTAACATCAAGGCAAGGCCAGATGACCCAGTTTCCCTGTGGAGGGCCCCGAGTGTCCCCAGGATGGTATGTGGTGGGGCCTCTGGCACCAGGCACCAGCCCTGATCCATGGGCCCCAAGAAAATATTTCCTGAAAGCCACCAGAGCCCTACCAATCCCAGTGGGCCTTGCAGCCAACTGCATTCTGGGTGAGGAGGAGGCAAACAGCCCAATCAGAACACGCCTCCTATCCTGCCTTTTGCAGAAGCCAATCACAGATGGCCTTTCAGCCATTCGCCCATCTATGATGAAAATGCTCAGAGGTGTCCTCTTGCCCCTGGCCCATGGGAGCCTTCCTTAAGGTACACCAACACTCCCTCAAGGAGACCTGTTCAGAGCCAGGCTCCAGGCCAGGAACAGATCAATGGGGAGAGGCAGGGCCTGCCCACCTGCAGGGTACTCACCCATCTGCATGCAGATCTCACCAATAGCCCAGGTGGCATTGTTGCAGACAGAGATGAACTCTGGGTTTAGGTTGGTGCCCAGGATAGGCATGAATTCAGCTGGTGGAGAGAAAGAAGAGTATGAGCAGAAGGACCTGCCAGGGTGAATTCCCAGACCTGGCCAGGCAGGCCCCATCAGACAGAACAAATACATCCCAGTTTAATCACAGTCTTCCCTGGTCATTGCTCCATCACTTGAGACCAGGGCTAGGGTCATGAGGTAAGGATAAGATGGGTGTCATACCAATACAGGGCTTGACGTGGATGAAGCAAGCTTTGGTGAGGTCTCCCAGGAGGGCGAAGGAACTCTGCCGGACCTCAGGCATCGAGTCCTGGGGGTCAGAGCAGGGTCAGCATGGCAGGGCTTCCCTCCCAACCAGCTGGGGTCCCAACTAATCCCTCAGCTCAGGGCAGCTAGGGGAGCAGTCCCTGGAGCACGGCCTGACCCTTCTAATTCCCAGCACCAAGGCTGCAGGACCACTATGTATATCAGGACTCAGGGGCCATGTGAATGAGTGTCTTGCTCAGGGCACTGCTACAGAAGGAGGGGGTAACCGCTGATACATGGGTTGGAGGGTGATGTTGAAAGGGCTGTGCTTTCATATTTCCTATTCTCCATTTTTAAATTTTCTACATTGGCCCAGCCAGTGTGGCTCAGTGGTTGAGCATCAACCCATGGACCAAGAGATCACTGGTTCAATTCCTAGTTAGGGCACATGCCTCCATTGTGGGGCCTGAACCCCACTGGGGGGCATGCAGGAGGCAGCCAACCGATGTTTCTCTCTAATAGATCTTTCTGTCTCTCTCTTCCTCTCCCTTTCTCTCTCTAAAAAGTAATAAAATATATATTTTTTAAAAAGACTTTAAAAAGTAAGTTTTCTACACTGTTGGCTTGAAAAACGAGTTTTTACTCATGTCTTATTTGAATCCCCTTTTAAAATAATTACAAGTTTTTTACAGGCCCCCTTTTCCTGATGTCCTTGTGGTATAACCAGGACTCTGACTGCCCTCACCCAGGGTAGCCCACTCAGGCTGTTGGGTGTCATCACTGTGAGAGGTCTGCGAAGGGTGTCCACCCACCTGCATGCACTGGAAGAGCAGTGTCATGATGTTGCTGCGGGCCACCAGCTGCTCCACGTGGCCACCCAAGCCCTCAGCCAGGCCACTGAGCAGGTCTAGCGCCACGATCATGAAGTCCTTGTCAGGGGCCTCGTACTGCTCAGGATGCTGGGTATACATCTGGGCACAGTTGGGGTGGGTGGGAAGGTGAGGGCAGTAGGCCAGGACTGGGGCAGCAGCAGAGAAGTGGGCAGGTGGGTGCTCACCATGGCCTGGGCCAGTGTCTTCTGCACTAGGGTGACACAGCGCTGGTAGACAGGCTCACAGTAGGGCAGGAAGCCACTCTGCAGGGCAGTGGCCACAGATGACAGACACTGGTGGGAGGAAGACAGGAGAGGTAAACTTAGGTGGGGTAGGGCAGGACTTCGAGGGGGAGCCTAGAGCCCACCCACCTCTAGCAGAGGGAAAAGGTCCTTATCTTCATCCTTGAGCTCGTTCCACTTCTGGATGAGCGGAGGCATCAGCTTCTGGATATATTCCTGGAGGGAAAGCAAGAAGTTGGGCTCTCTGGGCACAGGTGGCAGCCTGGGAACCAATAGGGCTCCCTGTGACCCATAAGCATCCATCGCCTGAGTAATGAGGTCTGGACTCCTCATTGTGGCTCATGGGGTCTACAAGGCCTTGCCATCCAGCCTTACCTCCAGGTTCTTCTCACCCATCCCAAGCCCCACCCTATCCATCCCTGCCCCTTCAGAAGCCTGGGCCTCCTGATTCCCGCAGGCCCGAGCTCCCCCAGCACAGCACTTACCACACTGTCTCATAACTGTCTGTTTCCCCCACTAGACTGGGAGCAGAGCGAGGGCAGGGGTCAGGTCAGTCTGTCTGCCTGTCAAGGTCATAGCCATGTCCCTGGCATTCGACATGGGGTCACCGCCAGGTCACTGGATGCCAGAGGGGAGCAGGGGATCGAGAAAAGGGAGCTGTGGAGTCTCACCGGTTGGTTGAGGTGGTGGCCCACAGAGTCAGCTAGGGTGCCAATGGCATCATAGAGGATGAGCAGGTTCTTATGCTGGTACTTGCCAAAGGCAAAGACAAGAGTGTCCAGGATATAGCTGAGGTAGGGCACCAGCTCCGTGCAGGCCTCCTCCTCCAGGGTGGCGAAGGCACTGGAAACAGGGAAAAGGCTCAGTGTGCACCTACAGGTGGGGGCTGGGCTATGGGCAGGTAGAGACAGGAGGGGGCACTCGGGATCAGCCAGTACGAATACATTAGAAATCAGCAGATATCAGAGGTAATGAGTGTCATCACTTCCCAGAGGGCAGCCAGTGGTGCAGGGGGTGAGGACTGTAGGGCCAGGGGTTGGGGGTCACCTGCAGGCTGCCTCCTGTACCCTCTTGTTGCCATCTAGGATGCGCTTGAGCAGTTCTGTCATCAGAGGCTTGAGGTGCATGTCAGGCGGCTGGCTGACCACCCAGTGGGCGTAGCGGCTCAGTGTCCAACAGGCAATGGAGCGAACCAGGGCCTTCTTGTCTGACAGACACTGGATGAGGTGCGGGATCAGCTCAGGAAGGTAGGGCACCATGCCCTGCATACAGCCTGTAAGGATAGCACAGGGGCAAGCCTGAGCCCAGCTGAGCCTGGCCACACCCACCCTTTAGGGGAGAGGATCAGCTGAACCTGACAGATGGGGAAACTGAGGCTTGGAGGTTAATGTACCAGCTCAGAGCCATGGCTCAGTTGGTTACAGTGGCGTCCAAATATGCCAAGGTTGTGGGTTCCATCTCCCGTCAGGGCATATACAAGAATCAACCAATGAATGCATAAATAAGTGGAACAACAAATCAATGTTTCTCTCTCTTCCTCTCTCTAAAATCAATAGTGGAAAAAAACAACATTTTTTAAAGAAATAAATAAACAGTAACTGGCTCAGAGTCACAGAGCCAGTGAAAGTTCAGGTCAGGAGGGGAAGAGGCATCAGAGCAAACCGTTTATGCCATCCGCTCCACCTCAAGAGAGTCACTCATCAATTTATAGATGACCAGGCTGCAATCTGACTTGGGCTTTGTGGGCAGCAGTGACCACAAAGGTTTCTTTTGAAGACTTTCCTGAATGTTTGTGATATTTTTCTCTACTTTTCATCTTCTTTTTATTTATTTATTTATTTTTTATCCTTACCCGAGGATACCTTTCCATTTTGTTGTTCAGATAGAGTGGAAAGGAGAGAGAGAGAGAGAGAGAGAGAGAGAGAAATATCGACGTGAAAAGGACACATCGAGTGGCTGCCACCCTCACAACCCAACCAGGGCCAGGAACAGACCTCAACCAAGGTACATGCCCTTAGTGGGAACCAAACCCGGGTCTCTCGAGACCGCAGGCCAATGCTCTAACCCCTGAACCAAACTGGCCAGGGCTCATCTTCTTTTTAAAATAAAGAACAAAAACATGAGTATGCCTTTTTTTTTTTATACGTGCCCCTAGGGGGAACCAAACCCAGGACTCTCTGGCCTGTAGGCAGATGCTCCAACTGCTGAGCCAAACCGGCCAGGGCAAGTATATCTTTTAATTAGAGAATACAGATAATAGCTTACCCCTCATAATCTAAGACAAGTGATCTGTTTTTACTGGTTTAGGGTCAGTTTCTCTATATCTTTTCTCACAAATATGTAGAACAACTAATGTAGTCTGTTAACATATGTACATGTATTAACATAAGCTATATTACAGTATTATAGGAGGAAACCTCTCCTTAGATAATTTTGGAAGTTCTCATTTTGGAAGAATGAGAGTTTCTGAACTTTTTATTTTTTAGGATAGGCCTGGATGCTGAGGCAGTCACAAGTGATGCCAGTAACATTCACAAAGCCCTCTGGTCATTCAAGCTGTATATTCCATCAAGACAAAGGGTGCTTGAAAGCCACATCAGTAAGAACATACCATGTGAAGTTTGCCCTTATTCTGGCAGGCCAGCCCACAGCCAGGGAGCAGGTTTGAGGCTCAGCTGCACCCTGGGTAACTGGGGAGGTGGTGTACATCCCTCTGTACCTTAGTTTCCCCATCTCTGAATCCCATCTCATCAGGTGGTGCTGAGCCCATAGGAATAGGCTGCCTGCCATGGGACAGGCACTGCAGAAGAAACTGTTATTGATGTTGTAGATATAATTATCCTTACAACTTCATAGAACTGGATGTCCATGAGAATTAAGGAGAGGATTTGCATTTCAGGATTTGGGGTTCCTTTCAGGCTCATAGGCTGAGGGGAATATTCAAATCCCAGAGCTGTCTGAAGGGGCTGAGCAGGCCTCTGAAGAGAACTCAGGGATGATGTCCACCCCCCTCCTATCCTCGGGCAGCCCTGTCTGGGCCAGCCCCAGTCTCACACTAGCACAAGGGTCAGAGATCAATGACAGCCAGGACAGCAGGTCACTCACCCTCAGCAATGGCGCCCAGCACCAGGATGCCTGACTCCTTAACCACCCACTCAGGGTGAAAAAGGAGGCCCTTGAGCAGGGGAAGAAGGTGGGGCAGCAGTTCCTCCCGGAAGACATTGGCCAAGACGTCCAGTGCAGCCGCCGAGCACTTCCCTGGGACAGGAAGGGATATTGGAGGGCAGGCTCAGGGAAGCCCATCAGGCAGGACCTCCTCGACTATACCCCCAGATTAGAGATCATGACTAGGATTCTCCACGATCTGCTCTGAGTAGGCTTCTCCTCACCTCCCAAGAGGGAGCCCAGGGCTAGCTACCCCACCCCACCCCACCTCACCCCACCCCACCCCACCCCTGCCAGGGCCTCACGCACTTAGATTCCAGTCGGATAAAGCATCATCATCGTCATCATCCTCAGCATCCTCAGAGCCGTCGGGCCTCTCCGCCTCATGGGGCAGTGTCACTGTGCGCGACTTGTGGAAGCGTGGCTTAATGTCCTGCTCGCTGTCAGGGACTGCCTCGTCTTCTTCCACATCCCCCTGTGGGCCAGGCAAACCACTAAGCATCAACAGGGCCCCAACCCCAATGCCCCCACCCCACCCACCTGCCTGTGCCCAGTGGTCAGTTCAGCTGACCTTGAGCAGGATAATGTCGATTTCCGAGTACTTCATCCCATTCACCAGGATGGGGATCAACCTGTTGGGAGAGAGGCTGTTCACTGGAAGCAGGGCCCCCTGAGAAGCAGAGGTACAGATAAGAGTGTCAAGAGCAGACTGTACAGCGCACGCTGATTCTGCTGGCCCCACATCCATTCATTTTCCTTAGGGGGAGCTACTCCAACCTAATCTCAGCCACTGTGACAGGGACAGAGCTGACACCACACCTGGCTCCATGGAAGGCTCTTGACCCAAAACTGGCCACCTCTTAATACACTGAGAAGCTTAGAACAATGCTGGATCCCTAGCACACCATAAGGCAGGGACATGTGGCCCAGTCACCAGGCACTTCCCTGGGATGGGGCCAGGTTAGGGGAACAAACAGGCAGGGCAGCCAGCTCCCTCAGCTGGCGCCCATGTACCTTGGTACTGAAAACTTTGACTAGAGTCTTCACTGACTTGGGGATAGTGAGTGATCCAAGCTTGCCCTATCACTTTTGCTGGAGATACTGGTCAAGAGGGAATTCTTTTTTCAGAGGTTCCTAAGCTGTAAAGTTGTAAAAGGTCACAGCACAACTACGAGGGAAGGTCATTCCTGAGAACAAAGCCAATGCACAGAGATCTGAGACTAGACAGATGCCTTTCACATCCTTTGAGCACCTGGATCCAACTATGTCTGAAGCCTCCCTTGACTTCTCATTTACTCCACCTATAACTTATCTAATTATTATTTTGTTAATATTTACCCAAGGATATTTTTTCCATTGGTTTTTAGAGAGAGTGGAAGAGAAGGAGAGGGAGGGAAATAGAAGGAGAGAGAGAGGGAGAGGGGGGGAAGAGAGAGAGAAACATCAATGTAAGAGAGATACATCGATGGGTTGCCTTCCATATGTGCTCTAAATGGGGCCAGGGACAGAATCTGCAACCCAGGTACATACCCTTGACCAGGAATCAAACCCGAGACCCTTCAGTGCACAGACCAGCACTCTAACCACTGAGCCATACCAAGAAGGGCTAACTTATCTAACTTTTAAGTCATTAAAGCTGCTTTCATATCACTTGCAAAATGAATGATGACACAGAAAATAAACTGAAATAGAAGAGGTGGAGGCTGGGACAGGACAGAGGACAAGAGAGAAACTCACTGGACCAGGTGGGAGGCCAGGACGTCCTTGCAGATGGGCTGCTCGGCCAGCGTCAGCCAGAACTCACAGGCCTCAAGGGCCACATTCTCATCATGGTCCTGGGTCCTCTGCAGCATGTACTGAGGCAGGGTGAGAAAAGCTGAAGACCCTGCCTAGCTAGGGGTGGCTCCCACTGTGCCCCCAGCCCCACAGCACCCACCCAAGCCAGCCTAGATGTGCCACCTGGATAATGCTATGCATGTGGGGGATGAGCCTGTCGATCCGCACTTCCAACAGCATCACCAGAGCTCGGCACACATTCTTTCGCACCTCAGGGTCATCGTCCACAGCCAGGGCAAACAGGTGCTGCAGGGAAGATAGGATCAGCCACAGCGGGGACCACAGCATTCACCCTGCTCACGCCCAGCCCCGCAGCCCACCTCAATGAAAGTATCGATATTGTCCATCAGCGCCTGGGCCCGGTCCATGATGAACTGATTCACACAGGCAATGGCGTGGGACCTGGCAGGGAGTGGGCATGTGGGTCATCCCCGCCCTGCCAGCTCCAGGCCCCCTGCAGACCCCTGGGGAGCCACACCCACCGGATCTTGGGACTGCAGTGCTTGAAGAACTGCAGGAACTTGGGGATCATGATGTTGAGGGGCCTGTTGAGGGCATCACTATCCAGGAGCTCAGATGAGTCTTCACAGATCTTTTGCAGGGCTCCAAAGGCTCCCTGAGTAGGGAGGAGCATACATGAATGTGGGTCCAGGTCCAGCCATGGTTCCCACCCAGGTGGACCATGGCTTGTGGCCTACCTCACACGTGTTGTAATCCTCCGAGTTGAGCAGGTTACACAGCTGGGGCAGCAGCTCAGGCCACATCTGCAGCTCACCCTTGGAAGCGATGGTGGTGATGAGAATGCCTGGGCGGCCAGGAAAGTACGCTGCCTCAGGCTGGGTGCAGATGGGCTTACTCGGCACCCTGATGCTCCCTGCCACTCTTCGGACACTCTCCCTCTAAGCCCTACACATCGCTCTTGAGATCCTCCGAGCCCTACTGTAAGTTAGCTCTGTTCCAGGTCCCGGGATGCAACACAGAACTAAATACAAAATCCCTGCCCTTAGGAGCTAACTGTCTAGTGAAGGAGGCTGCTAAGTCAGCATAAACCTGCAAAAGACCTGGGAGGCTATCTGCCAGGAGCTAAAGGGGGAAATAAAGCAGAGAAGATGGCTAGCAAGGACTGAGGATAAGGGTAGCAACTTAAAATTGGGTATCCAGAGCTTCCTCCAGGTGACATCTTGATATCTGAGCAAAGACCTGAAGGAAACAAGGGAGAAGATCCAGGTCCCTAGGTAAAGAGCATCCCAAGCAAAGGGAATGGAAGGTGCAAAGGCCTGGGGGCAGGGGCAGGCCTGGGGAGATTACAGATTGGTAAGGAGCCAGTGGGCCTGAGCAGGAGGAGGTAAGGGCTGGAAGGGGGCAGAGGACAGGTCCAACAGGACCACATGGCCTCTTGAGGGCTTCTACTGCTTGCTGGAAACCCTAGTACTACCTGCAGTAGGTATCGGAAGCATGAGGGCAGTACAGTCTGGGCTGAAAGTGGGCGATGTCAGTGGAGAGATAAATATTTAAAACCAGGAGGTGGCAGTCTTTCCTAGGGGAAGAAACTGCCAGTGCCAACACTCCAGATGAACCTGGCTCACAGGTCTGCTAGGAAAAGTACTCCCTGAGATAGACTGTGAATACAGTTCCAGTCCCATCCCTGTCTGTGTGATGTTAGCCACATCATCTAACTTTTCTATGCTTCAATGGGGACAAAGACCACCAGCCTACTAAGTGGTCAGTGACGTAAGTACTCAGAGCAGATCCTGACACCAGGAATGAGTTTGGTAAGTCCTGATCCTTCTACTCATGTCTGAGAAGGGGTACTGTTGGGGCTATGGGTCTTGTAACAAAATCAGAGGCTCCAAGATCAGCCCTGTGGTAGGCTCCAGCATCTATCACAAATTTAACACAATTTTTTTGCCTTTATTGCCTATTAAGACTAACGTCCATTTAGGGCAAGCACATCTGTTTTCCACTTAAAATAGTTACACACAATATCCTTTTAAAAGCAAGTTTTAAGAGTTGACAAAGATTTTAAAGAAAAAACTGTAAATCATAATATGTCAACTAACCTCAATAAAGCTGGGGGGGGAAATGTAAGTCAGCAACAAATAGTAGCATTGGTGTTTATCAATAATGAAAAAGTTTATGATAAACTGCTGGAAAATTCTGGACATCCTTCTGTTAACTTCCTCAGGCAGCCTTCCAGGAACCAGAAAGGCTCCAAGACAAAACTAACTCATTAATGACACCAAGCTCCATAGGGCTGGGAGCTCTGATTTTAATCTACCAAATCCTCAGCATCTAACACAAAATTCTGGACACTGAATGGCTGCCTCAGAAGAAAGAATAACTGTTTCAGGAGGCAGTGGTTCAGAGCATGGACCTGCACTGGTCACTTCTGAGCTCTGCCACTTACCAGGCAAATCGCTTAACCTCTCTGTGCCTCAGTTTCCTCATCTGCAAAATGGCAATAGTAATAGTTCTACCATCATGGTGAATCAATACCCTTAACATTTTGAGATGCTACCTGGCTGAGAGTAAGGGCTTGGGGCCTCATCACAGGCTGACTCCTACTGCCCCCCGCCTACCTATTGTAGCCCGGATGAGCGAGGAGGCATCCCCGATGTTGTTGAGACACTCCTGTTTGATGAAATCAGCCACAGGTGGTGGAAAGCTCTGATAATGCGCCTTCACATTATTCTTGAGGATGAGGCCACTGAGAGAGCGAGTTGGCTCATCTGAGGGAAGAGGGCTGAGGCTCAGGGGACTACAGGGGAGAAAGTGGGTCTAGCCTGCAAGAAAGGGCATTGAGGGCACCATACCTTCTGACTTGAGTCTGGTCAGGACAAAGATCAGGTAGTTGTTGAAGTCGGGAAACTGGTTCAGTTGTTTAAGTTTCTTTCAGGTTGTTAAGGGACTTGGGAGACTAGGGCCTTCCCCAGGTGAGGCCCCCTTACTGTCATGTAGCCGACAGTACCTCTGACCTCTGGGACCAGGCAGCCACCTCCTGGGACCCCACCTATCAATCCCCAGGCCCAGGTTGATGAAGCATTTCAGACACACCAAATTCATCCAGGAGGTAGGGGAGCATGCCTGATCTCCCCACCACTCCTAAAGACCTGGTCAGAGCAGGAGACAACTAGCAGACCCAGCTCTGTCTGAAGGTGACAGCTGCTACTCAGCTCTACTTACCAGCAGTCCAATGTTGCCTGCTTTTTTAAAAAAAGGAATCCCAGCCCTGGCCAGTTTGGCTTAGCAGTTAGAGCATTGGCCTATGGTCCAGAGAAACCCGGGTTCAGTTGCTGCTAAGGGCATGTACCTCAGTTGCAGTTTGTCCCTGGCCCTGGTTGGGTTGTGCGGGTGGCAGCCACTCGATGTGTCCCTTTCACGTCGATGTTTCTCTCTCTCTCTCTCTCTCTTCCTCTCCCTCCCTCCTAGTCTGTCTGAACAAAAAATAAAAGAATGTCCTCGGGTGAGGATAAAAAAAAAAGGAATCCCAAAAAACGGGGGTGTGAGTGGGGGATCCACGTTTTCAAGTGAAACTGGCCAATGGTTTAAATATTTTAAAAGTTTAACTTAGCATTTTAAACAACCAATTGAAACAAAAAATTTAACCATGAATTTAACCATGAACCTAAACAAAAATTGAGTCCCAACTAGAGGAGTCATCCCCCTCCCACAGAGTCCTGTTTCTTCTGGGAATGGGACCCAAAAATTCTAATTCTTAATTCTCTGCCAAGGTCAGCTCCTAACCACAGTAGAAAGAGTCTGGGTATTAGGGGGTGGGCCCCATCCTCTGTGACCTTCAGGGGATGCATGTCTGCCTGGTTCCCTCAGGCCCAGAAGGAAAGAAGGATACATCCTGCACAATACGCTGAGTGGCTGTATTGGGTGACTGTGAGTCTTTGAGCAGCTGTAGGACCTGCTGCAGGCCCTGCTCATCTGGCTGCCAGTCCATGGTGCAAGGCGAGCTGCAGGGATAGGAGCTAGGGTCAGCACTGGTCCCGGGGGCTCCATATGAGACTAGGCTGAGACCCTGAAGAGGTGGCAGCGGAAGTGTAATCACGGGGTTGCCCTCCTAGAGCAAGCGGAGGCCGCCAATCCAGCCAATCCAAGTGCGAGGTCCCTGCCAGCTGCACCATTCATGGTGGCGCAGTAGCGAGCTGGCGGGGAGATGTGGAAATGGGCCATGGGAGGCAGTGGCTGGGTCCCATAGATCCTCATCGGGCCTGGCAGAGCCTTCTTCCCAAGGCAGCCCCTGCCACCACTTCAGGCTGAGGGCCCAGCCACTTCTCCATCCAGGTACCCTGCCCCACACCTCGATAACTTCCAGCACCACGGTCTCCCCGGTGCAAGCACGGTCCCGGAAGATCCCCCTTCTCCCGAAATCCAGCCTTCAAGTTCCACCACATCCTGATGCCTCCTCTGCCCCGGTCTGGTCCTTGAGCCTCCCCAGGTGCACCATTCGAAGGTGCTCCGATCTTCCTTATCTCTGCCGCCTCCCCTAATCTGGCCCTCCAAGCTCAGCCGGATGCCAGACTCCCCCCTTTCTGGCCTAGCTAGACCAGCGATTCCACTTAACCAGGCTCGAAGACAGGCCGGCGATGCCTCTCCGAAAGAGTCCATCAAGTATGCCCACCCTGAGACAGAAGCCCCCTGGACAGGTAGGTCCCTGTCCCTTTCCCCAATCAGGTCCCCCCCATACCTGCCCTCCACTCTAGTCAGTAGTATCGGCTGCTGACGGATCTCTGCTGCTTCCCCCAATCAAGTTTGGCCCAAACCCCCACCACCTCGGGCTGGAAACCCCCTTTGTCAGATCCCTGCGGCTTCCCCCAAATTCCGACCGGTTGAACCGCCCCCCTCTACCTCCCGGGCACTCCCCACAACTGATCCTAGAGACGCCTTGCAGTCAGACCCAGCAAAACCCTCCAGGCCGAAGTCTGACGACCCTCCCTATCACAGCCCAACAAGGGCCACCAACTTTTCAATGCGGCCTCTCCTAATCAGACCCAATCAAGCAACGCGGAAACATCACCACCCACTCCGTACACACCCGACCCTCGCGACGTCCCCAATTAGATCCCCTCCAGCCCGACCCCAGGAGCCATAGTGACCGGATTCTCACGGCACCGAGAGCTGACTAGGCTCCGAGGCCCCACCCCCTAAGCCCGGCTCGGTTTCCCCTTCCCTCCCCACCCGTTCTCGTTGCCTCGAAAATCGGGCCCAACCAGGTTCTCGGCCTTTCCGGGTCAGGCGTGGCCCTGACTCCCGGGTCGCACGCGGCACAGGCACAGACCCTGACGGGGGTCAACGCAAGTCGGGGCGGAGCCGGTCCGGTTCCGGGTGAGGCCCACTTACCCGGCCCGAGGCAGCAGCGGCGGCGCCTTGTGCTGCGGCTTCTCGTGAGACTCGCGCGGAAGGAGGGAGCCAAAGAGGGGGAATTAAAACACACACACACATACATACATACATACATACACACACACAAACACACACACACACACACACACTAAAAAACGCGGTCCTACATGAGCCGCGGCGGCTTCCGTACGCCGTTCAAATTGGCCCAGCTGAGCCAATCGGAAAAGGCAGCGATCGCACGTGACCCGGCACCCACGTCCCGCCGGTGTCTGGTCACGTGACCAGAGTTACCGACTCTCTTGCTTTCTGGCCAGCCAGTGCTCCCGGCATCCCTTTTTTTTTTCTCAGCGGCTCTCACGTGGAAGCTCTGCTGGGAGCTGAGTTTGGTGGCGCGTCGGGATTTTTGAGGTGTCGTAGCCACTGGAACCCATCGGCCAGAGCCGGATGCGCCTTTGTCACCTCCTCCTGTAAAAATTGAACTATGCCTCCCCATCTCCATCCAGAAGATACTTGGTAGGAGGTACAGTCTGTGTGCTCAAGGAGAGAGTAGAGGGAACAGCCAGGGGTGGACTTGGTACCCTAGAGACCAAAAAAACAGCCAGACGAAGGGACAGACTAGGTTCCTAAAGAAGGCTCTGCCATATTTTACCTTATATATTTTCCAGTTTAGCAATTTTTACATGGATATGAAAAAAACTCACAAGGATATGAAAATTTTAATGAAATGAATAAACGCTGGAGCAAAACGGTCTAAGCCCTTCTTCCCCCACCTCAAGCTGAATGAAGTGGAACAGACCAGGAAATTCAGACAAGGGCAGGGTCATAAGGAGGACATTTTTTGTGATCTTTGCGCTCTCGGAGGACAAAGTGGGGCCCTCTTCCTCTTAAGAGCAGTAAGGCGCTTGAGATCCTGGAGGACCAGTTTTCCCTTCCCGACCCCACTGACAACAAGGTGGGAGACCTGGCATTCAGAACACTAGTTTTCCCATTTGTCAAATGAGTATAAAAATACATAGATTGCCCTGGCTAGTTTGGCCCAGCGGTTAGAGCGTGGGCCTGCAGTCCAGAGAAACCTAGGTTTGGTTCCCGCTAAGGGCATGTACCTCAGTTGCAGTTTGTCCCCGGCCCTGGTTGGGTGGTGAGGGAGGCAGCCACTCAATGTGTCCCTTTCACGTTGATGTCTCTCTCTCTTTCTCTTCCTCTCTCTCCCTCCCACTCTATCTGAACAAAAAAATGGAAAAATGTCCTCAGATGAGGATAAAAAAAAAAAACACATAGATTATCTCTAACCCAGAAAACTAAATTAACCATCACCAAAATTGTTCTTTTATAACGTGGCATCTACCTCAAGAGGCTCAAGGCCTTTCACTGTATTCAGCCCCCCACCCCATACAATATTTGCTGAATTTACCGAATCAACTAGTGTTCTAATCCCAAAGAAACTCCAGCCCACCCTGAGACTCTTTTGGGCCTCCGGTGGGGCACAAGGTCAATTTTTGCCCCAGCCTGTTGGAAGGGGACAGGTTTCTTAGCCCACTTCCCGTTAGCAAAGTCATTCCTGGCTCCATTCATCCAAGAAAAACAGGTACCTTAGACCTCTATTTCTGAGCACTGACTTGAGAAAGGTCGGCTGGTACCTAACGCCTGTCCAACAGTGGAGCCCTAAAGCAGCAGCCTAGATTTCCCACCTCCACCGGCTGGGCTCAACAGATACCCGACGTGACAACGTGCGGAAATCCGCCACGAACGCATGCGCAATGGCCTCCCTCCGGCTAGTGCTTGGAAACTACAAACTCCCTCCTGCCACCCGTGGGTTTACGGGCTCTGGCTGAGGCTGAAAACCTGAAGATCTGTAGAGCCTTGGAGGTGAGCGTCATGCAGAAAGAAGAGTGAGGTTGAAGGACTGGCAGGTGTGTGGGTTTCCGGAGAGTATGCAAACACTGGGTGTTTTCTGCTCAGGGTTGGGGGTTGCCCCAGATAAGGGTCAGGTGGAGAGGGAGGTAGAGATGCAGGAATGTAACATGTAAAGTTCTCAGCGACTCTGCGCAAGTCTCCAGGGAGGGGATGGGGCAGAATAAAGTGGCCCCTGCTCCCAGTATGGTCTACAGTATTCAGACTCAGAAGTCTTTCCTCTCCCCAGCTGGTGGATTTGAGTACTGAATTGGGACTCCCCTCCCCTCCCCACCCACCTCCATTTCTTAGGCATCTGCTACTGCCTTTCAGGGGATTTCCAAATGTAATTCTCACAACAGCTATATGTGCTGGGCAAACATCTAGAAGCTCTAGGGCAAAAAAGAAACTCAAGGAGCCCAACCCTGAATCTGAGATGGATGACAAATGCCTATCACTTTACATTGGCCTCCCTGCCTGAGCATCTCAGCACACTGCACCCACGTTTAAAGGTCAGCATTTCTGAAACACGACCACCAAACAAGCCAGTTGCTTCACCCAAAAATGACAGCTCTTTGAAACGTCAGGGTTACCATTGACTATATGAACATTAGAACCTGGCTCTAGAGATGGTTCTGCATTTTACCCCTATTTCATAGATGAACCTGAACCACAGAAAGGCTAAATGACTTACCCAAGATCACACAGCTAACCGGCAAATAGTTTGAAGCCAAACTATTTGACTCACCAAAACCTGAAATTTTCTTTTCCTTCCCCCTTCAGACTTTCTGCAGGTCAGAGCTGGTGAGCACCAAGGGAGGTGCCAGGACTCCATCAGCTCCTCCTGCCTCTTGACACTCCAGAATAGAATCTGAGGTGCTGCAGGGGCGACCTACTTCTCCCACGTGTTTCTTTTTAAAGATCCAACCACTGCTGGTGGCCTTAAGGGAGGAGGTAGAGGTGGCTCCATTGGCTATGTCCCCTCTCCCCACACTATATTCCCTAGGCAAAAGCCAGCTCAGCATTCCCAAAGTAGGAAAGAGAGCACTTTGGGCCAATGTAGAAAATAAACCAACTTTACTATGTATTGATGGGAAATGGGAGGGGGTATGTCTCCTGTTCCAAAGCCTGCTTGCTCCCTCTTCAGGCATAGTTTCAGCTTGAGGTCTTTGTACCTGCTGTTCCTTCCACCTGGAATATTTCCTGACTCTTCACTGCCAGTCCCATCTCCTCCAGAACTTGGGATAAATGCCACCTCCTCAGGAAGGCAAGCTATCCCTGACCCACCTAAAATTGCCATTTCTTCCATTCTCATCGCGGCCCCCCTTTTATACTTTTTTTCCCCCTAGAATGTATAACCATCTGATGTGTCCTGTTTTTATTTTGGTTTTTTGTCTGTTTCCCCCAACTAGAATGTTAGCTCTACTAGGAAAGGGAGTTTTGTCTGTTCTGGTACTCCAACCCAACCCCCCCCCACCCCACCCCCAGTCTGGATTCTGGCAGAGTCTGAAGCCAGACAGGTGCCTCCTCAGCTCTCTCCCAGGACCATAAATAGCTGTCTGCCCTTCCTCCCTCTGCCTCCACAGGTCCCGGTGACCACCATGATATCCAAGTCCTGGTAGGGGAACCTGACTGAGGGATAGGCTGGAGTATTGAGCTGCTCAGCATTTAGGCCTGGGAACGCCTGAGAGGTGGGGCCATGTTGGGGACCCTGGATCTACTAGGTTTGAGAAGTTGAAAGGCAAGGGCATCTTAAAACATTCCAGTGCCATGCCCTGACCAGCTGGGCTCAGCAGTTAAGAGCATCGGCCCACGGACCAAAGGGTCTCAGGTTAAATCCCTGCCCTGGTCGGGGTCATGTGGGAGGCAACTAGTTGATGTGTCTCTCTCACATCAATGTTTCTTTCTCTCTCTTCCTACTTCCCTTCCAGTCTATCTAAAAATCAATGGGAAAATATCCTTGGGTGAGGAGTAACAAAAAATAAAATAAAACATTCCAGCTCCACCAAGATGAACAAAGGGGCCAAGAGGGCACATAAGTACAAGAAGCATTAGAGGGGCATAAGGGGAGTCAGACTTCCTTTAGGACACCCTGTCCCCTAACATGTCATCCCTGCAAGGTGGGACAAACAAGCCTCTGTGTGCTCCTTCTGAGTTCCTTTCCCTGTGTGCTCCTTCTCCTGTGTTCCTTTTCCTATGTGCTCCTTCTGATCATATATACAGCCAGGTGGGACAATCCCAGCCTCCCTGGAAGGACTGCAAATAGTTGGAAAGACAGAGGAGCCTCACTGAAATCCAGATCCTAGCCCTCCTCACCTCTGCACTGTCAATAGCCCATCACCTCTGCTCCACTGATCACGGCCCAGCCTCCTATCTCCCAGATTCCAGCCCAGCCTCCTATCTCCCAGTTTCCACCCCAGCCCCACTTAAGCCAGATGGATCCTGTTAAAATAGAAAACAGACTGTGTTGCTCCTTAGCTCAAAATTTCCAAAGGCTTCTTCTCACTAAGAATAAAGTCCCAAGTTTCCACCCTAAAACACAAGGTTCTATATGTAATCCACCCACCCTCCTCACTCACCTGGCTCCAGTCATATGGGCCTCCTTGAAGCTCCCCATAAGGGTCAGGCACTCTCCTGCCTGTCTTTACACTTGCAGTTCACTTCACCTGGAACTCATTTCCTCACCTCCCTCAGGTCCCTGATCAGATTTCAGTGAAAATAGACACCCTCCCCACAGCCTCTACCCAGTATTTCTTCACAGGCACCTCCCAAAATGGCTTCCCTTTTATCTCCTTTCTTCCACAAGGGCAGAGAGCTTGAGTCTTCTGTTCTGTTCATGTGGCCCCAGGGCCCAGCCCAGGCACACAGTAGGTGCTCGGTGTCTGCTGAATGACAACTTTGGCCCAGCCAAACGGGACTGTGAAGAGACCCTTAACATGAGGAGCAACAGTGGGGATGCACTCAGGGGTGGGGAGAAATGGGTCCTGGGGAAGAATCCATGCCTCCTGACAGGGCACACACCCATCCTCCCCACACCCCAGAGTTCCCCTCACCAGGCCAAATCCAGGCTTTGGTGAGTACAGCAGGGTATAGATCGGAAGGAGCAAAGAAGGCAAACTAAGCACACAGCTCCAGCACTAAGTTAAGTTCTTTACTTCCCAGAAGTGATGTCTAAGGGAAAGAGGAAGGGGAGGGTGAGAAAAGTAAGACAGAAAGAGCCAGAGAGATCAAGGTGGTGGGAAGAGAGGGGACAGTAAACCACTGTTTTATGAAGTCTCGGAGGCAAGTGCTCAAGGTA